ATTGCATGTACTAAACTTAAACCAAATTCGTCCCCCACACAGCTGGAATCTAGTTCAACAATAGTGAAAATGTCTGATTTTGATGCATTTTTAATATTAAAATGGCTGCCATTTGGCCATCTTGAATCAATCAAAAAACAAATACAAGTGCATATGTATGATATGCACATGTGTGAAGTTTGCCAAGACATGTCTGGGTTTTGCAAATAGACGCATGGATGCACACACAGACAGATTGACGCATGCACAGACACAAGGAGATGAAATTACAAGTCCCCGTTTTCGAACTATGTTCAAACAGAGACTAGAAACTCTTGAATACCTCTGCACTTTTTTCATCATAAAACTTCTCTTTGGCTTTCATATTCCAATCCACAGCAAGGTATGTGCGGGCTGAAAAAAAAAGATTATTATTTTAAGAAATAATTTTAGAATACATTTAAGTCATCTTCAGCCTCTGCCTCTGTAATGGCCAAAAAACTTAATTATTTGGATGTTCACAACTTTAAGACCTGCATGTTTTCAACTTGTACCCAGATCATGTCTCAATCAATATTAAAACGACACTGACATTTCATAATTTTATTTTTTACTATACGTACATACATATCACAGACCTAAAAATTCTCCTATGCATGTATATTCAACTATACTAACCTGTAAATTTTAACGGCACATCGTCATCTTTCAGCTTGGCTAAATCAGCACTGCCATAGGCATTCACCAGTGTAAATGTGAATAATCGTCTCCTCCTCTTTTTCTTCTCATCCTCTTCAGTTTTCTTTTCATTTTTGTTGGTTTGCTTACAAATCTGATCTTCTTTAGAATTCTCATTGATATTGTCACCACCAGAGTTATTACTATCCTCCGTTTGGGCGTCATCTTCATCCCCACTCATTTCAACCTCTGAAAAAGAATACAGAATTTCAAGTATTGATACAGACAGATTATCACAAAGAAAGAAAAGTGATGGTTAACTTTTCCAATCAATACATTACCTCCATTTTCTATGTTATCTGTCTGATCAGTGTCATCCTCACACCAATCTTCATTGTCAGGTATTTCTACATATCGCCTGCAAAGAAACAAAACACGTTTTAAAACATAGCCGCAACCATGGCTCATCAAAAACTAGTATGCTGCATTATCAAGTTTTTGCCACCTCTTGAGAAGTCAGAATCAGCATAAATCCACCACAACTAAAACAGCTCACATAAGCATTGTCTAATATATATAATATCATGATAAATAATATACTATGACATGGCACGCACACACACACACAAAACCCTACAAAAAGGATCTTTTCTGAGGTGGTCCTCGAGTATAGGCCCACCCCCCCAATTTCCCCGATTTTACATGTTCAGGCCCCTGGGCTTATGATCGGGGAAGTACGGTTAATAATATCCGACTTCATAATGGTTACTTACGACATCCTGTGTAGTACAATTTCATACAGCGTTTGATACGTTGTACTCTTCCTGGGAACTGCTATGAGTAATGGCTGTCCAAATAAGGTAGAACTAACAGAGTTGTAATTGTAATTAGATTGACGATGTCTGAAAAAAGGACAGATAATCTGTAATTGTATTGTAGAATACTTTATTTTAGCTGGAATTAATTTTTGCTGAAAAGACTTTATGGGTGTTTTATATGAAATTTATTTTCACTGATATTTGACAAGTTAAATAAGAAATACAGGAAAAAAAAGGTATGTTATATTCACTGGATTTTATTTTCACTGAATCATTCCTTCAGAAGAAATAGTAAAAATTAATTCTAACCGAAAATAAAATATTTTCCAGTAGGTAGAAATAGAATTTTGATTTCTAATGCGAAATGAGCACAGCATAAATACATTTCAAGTAAGTTCAATTTCTAAAATACCAGTCTTAGTTAATTCATCATTAACTAATTTGGGACATTTTGCTCCAAGAACCTATGTGCAACTTACAATATATCAATATTCTATTAGGAGTTACATAAAAAAAACCAGTAGCAAAAAACATCAGACAAATCTATAATAATGTGGTAAGAATTAGCTTGTATTAGCAATCATATTGAATACATCAAAAACTCACTTTTTCTCTCTCATGTAGACAGGCAGCACAGCAGTTGACGCATCATCAGCACCCGTCACTTCATACCTTTATAATGATAAATGACAATATTAATGGGATGTTGAGAAATTCTCATTCTAAGGCATGGTGATACAGCCATGCCAGAATTGTTTAAAGACCATACAAGTTATCGATACACTAATTAGCAGCAATGTTGAGACAGAGCTGCAGAAGAACACGTACTATCAACCACATTTGACAACCACAAATAACCCTGGGCGATGTTCTTGACAATTGAGCATATTTAGGAAGATCTATCATTCAAACATGCTTTTTGACTTTTTTTTCCAGCATTGTTTGTACAATAACCATGTTTTCATGTACATGCCCGGTGTTAACACAGGCCGGCTTTCTCATACAGTAGTTTGATGTACATTTACAACTTTGGTAACCAAATCATTAAAAAAATAAAATTATGTAAAATAAAATGAAAATAACTATGTTTAAAGAAAGTTTTAAATTTGTTTCACTTTAAATTCGTGCTCTATAACACTTTTTATGCAAAACATCAGTATGGAAATCATAAGTGGCGGGTAATTATTTTTCTTGAAAAAATGTGTTGGGGGGGGGGGGGGACATGACAATGCTTGTTGTGCAACACCATAACATAGGAATGACGGGAGATCTAAACACATCGTAGCAGCAACAATTCCAACTTCAATCCCTTACACTGACGACATAATCATACAGACATGTGTGTGGCAAAAACAAAGTGTTTTAAAGCAATGCATATAAATTAGAACATTTCCTTAGTCAACACGATTGCAAGTAGGAAGCATTGTTCTGACAGCTTGAATGACTTTGGCGCCTGTTGAAAGGTTGAAAATACATCACTACCATGGATGTCAGGAGACACTCTGTGTGAAATTACATCTTTGATTAGACACAATTGCTCGAGTCTGAAACTTTTAATTTCTAAATGCAATTCACTTACACAAATATATCATCTCTATCTAGAATGTGCGTAAGAGCTTCATCTCTTCCGAAAACTTTATGAAATCGATGATTATACACATCTGTAACAACCATCTACAAGAAGAAGCACAAATTATATGTAAGCACTTATAGACAGGACATTTTAGGTATACATCTTCTTGAGAAGTACTGTAAAATCTGTATTAGAAACCGCGACTTCTATTAAAATGGTACAATGCAACAGAGGGGATGTGGCTTCTATTAGAGCATCTACACTTATGAGAAATGGTGAACTTTTGGTTCTCAATTGTTCAAAAAGAATGGGTGCGACTTCTATTAGGGATGCGGCTTCTAATACAGATTTTACGGTAATTCTTTTTTTTTTAAAGAGCATGATTAAGATTAAGTTAGACACAACGTACTCACTACACATGACAATCGCATGTTTTTTAACAGACACATTTCATAAAAGCATTACATACATATTTTAAAAACAGATTGATACTGATACTACAGATAATAATGAATATCATTTACATTTCCTGTTGGTATTTCTACGATTTTTGACACAGCATCACATATATCACTAACAGACCCCATCTTAGGAACTATCACCTTCATCTGTAAGGGAAAGAAAATACAATATTTATTTAATGACAAGAATTTATAACACAGAACTAAACTATTAGTAACAGATGTTGAGTCATGAACACATAAGAGCAATTTACAAACCTGTATTGGTTTCTGCGTGGGCTCGTCACGTATAAGAAACACTTCAAGACTCCTCTCCTTCCGCAGAGGTAGTGGCAAGCTAAGAAAGCAGAATGGGTCAAAGGTCACAGAGACTTTGTCACACTCGGGACATACCAACGTAGATTTGAATAGTCCATGGAACTGATCTACTATAATAGAATGGTTTCTTTTCAGATGGTTGCCCCACGATTCCTTAGCTACAACCTATGACAGAAGATACTCAAGTCAATATGTATATATGCAATAAATCAAACAGACTAAGCTTTCAGTGATGTACACACGCTGATTTCCATTTATAATTGTGGCCCCAATTTTTCCTAGCATTTACGTAGAGTTATGTGAATCAACAGCGAGACAAATTTAGCTTTTACTCACTTCATCAGGCCTGCCATCATCATCTTTTATTTCAATGTATGGCTTTTTCTTTATCCTGTTTAAATCTTCATGTAATCCATCAATAAGAAAAGCCAAAAGCTCTTGCGAATCTTGCTGTTGGTATCCAGAAAATTGAGGAGCAAACCTGCCAACCTGCATCTGAAATATTCAGTCAGTAAGTCCTTATTAAAAAGAACAAGAAGCTACGACAACATGTGGATCTGTTTATTTTATCAAGTATAAATATACAGAAGCCACCAAAGTAAATTATTGGAATCCAGATATTCCTACCTTAAACTGCCTGGGCATGGTGTAGTTATATTTGCCAGACCACATTTGTTTAATCAGATCCGCATATGCTTTGGCAATTTCTCCTTTCATGCCAAGTGGATTTTCATAATTCAACTCGTCCATATATTGATTTGCTATAGGGGGATAAATGAACAAAGACTCAGAAAACTTGTTGCGAATTATTATTAGAGACTGGTTATAAATGTATCAACAAGTTATGACATGACACATTTCTCATTGGTTTTTAGTGTCCATTCATTAATGTCCATTAATTAACTGGCTATGCCAAAAACATCTCTGAAACAGCATTCATAAAAAAAAATGGCTACCATTCCAATTAAAATTGATCGACAAAACTAGATGACATGAACAAAAGGAGTTATGCTAAACCTCAAAACTTTTCCTCGATTATTGTATGAATACAGGTGTTGTGACGTGTATAAAATATGAAAGCGAACTTACTTAAAAAGTAGTATGTCAGCGGCGGTACATTGCTCATACACTGGATAGCTGAATTCATAAAACATGTATTTCCTAAATTACTCAGACCACATAAGCCTGGCTGTGTACCACTGGAACTAGTTGATCCATAACCATGGTAACCATACCCATATCCACCAGAATATGAGCCGCCATATGAACTACTTGCACTGAAAATAGGGATAGAAATGTATGCCATACAGCTGTAATTCAATTAAACTTGATTTATTTGTACATTGGAAAATATTCATCACCTGGCAACCATCATTAATGAAAACAAATGCAAAAACTACCGGGAAAACAGTACTTTTTCCTAGTTATTGAGACTTTCCTGAACAATGTAACAAGATTACTCCTACATGTGTAACATATATAAATTTGGTTGTTCAGGACTACCTCAAATTTGAGTTTGTGCTGTTTTCAACCAGCTTTCCGACCGGCTCATGCATAACCCATAGAAAAACATTGTACAGTGATGCACGTCTCAGCAACATAAAATGTTCTGTGACGTAGCTCTGCCCCTGAGAATACATTTATAATTAAGCAATACAACATCTTCCTACATGGTATACTACAAGATTTGGCACAGAAGCATATCATACTAGGATACAAATGAGCACCAACAAGATTTATATATAGAGTTGCTTCTGAACACAATCAAGTGGTATACTATTCCATAGTATATAAACTGGCCTCAGAACCAGCATTAAAACCCACTGAATATGCCTGAAATAGTTAATCAGCGAAATTTAAACCCAGTGAAAATTAGTCATTTTACAGTACCAAGTAGTAATAAATAAAACTGCTTGTGTATGAAGCATTATCGACAGATTTGATACCATCATAATCTAGCTAACTTCTGCCAAAAACTACTTTGTTGTTTAAAAAAAAAATGTATTTTATACATGCATTGTGTGCACCCACTAGGAATCCAATACGGAACACAACGACCACTGCCACTTAATGTGAGGCACTCACCTTCTCGTTGTTGTAGCAGATGAAGTATACATACTATTCTCTGCATTAGTACTACTGCTACTACTTGACGAGTGATTTGTTGAAGTGTAAGCGTTTGTAGACTTTGCTTGTCTTGGCCACGTACCATCTTCATTTTTCTGTTCTATAACTAACATCTAAGTTTGAGAAATAAAACGTACAATTCTAACTGAAAGGCTAGAACAATAAGAATTGGGTGTATGTAAATACATGTCATGAGATAAACTGAACATGCATTACAGGTCTCTATGGTTGATTATAACACAAGAATACACAAAGTATAATTGCTGTATATTTTCACATGTTAGTAAAAGGACCCTGGCAAACATTGAGGTTTTGCTCATTTGTACAACAAAAGCTCTTTTGTTTTACTAAAACCACTTATGACAGCAAAATGGGGGGGGGGGGGGGTTGCGACAGATCTTTCAATCCCACTAATATACAAGAACCATTCAGGGCCAAAAGTTTAATATTTTCCACATAAAATCATCATATTCCATCGAATATTTACAATCTTTAGACATGTTCTATCTGCCAAGCTATATATCACTATGTCACCTTGAAAGCAACAAATTTTAACTTCCTCTACAAGGTCTTACCTGCCCCTGATAAAGATTAGCATCCTGGATTGTATTATCCTTTTTACTAAGATGTTCATACGTATTACTCATGTACTTATTCCACAACCTTGTTTCCTTGTCTGCACTTATGTTAAACAGTTTCCTCATCTCTTTCTCTATTGTTTCTGAAAATATAAAAACAGTTCATATTTTTACTTAAGACAATTAAGACAATAAATTTGATCAGAAATGTATCATAACTTAGTTGCTACAATGCTCGTAATTCATGAAGCCCATTGTCTTTCATGTCCTTCTTTATAATTACACAGCAAAGAAATTACATTATATTCACAACTGTAATTGGGACATTAGCAGTTTGGAACTTGCATTAGAAACATAACTCCTCCCACCCATCCTCCTACTTACCTATCGTGTCTGCTTTGCTAAACTGTTTGGAAACACTTTTATCAAGTTGACTGTTTTCAGTTAATTTCAACTCCATCAAGTAAACTTCAACTTTACAATGTTTGACAAACATGCCATTTTCAATGACTTTTCTAGCTATCGGTTCTTGGCCTTCAGAGATTCCATACCAAGACTGTAACTTGTTCCAGGCTTCAGTCGGAACTAATATGTAATCTAATTCATCTATTAAATGTTCTTTTAAAACGTTCACTCCAGCAGGTTCTAAAGAAAAATGTATAATATGATCATTAACATAACTGAAATACTGCTCAACTGATTATTAGCAGGCATTCAAATTTTTTGTAAACATGGCACACTGAGATAACTATGGAACTTTGACAGATAGTGAACATTGGACTACTAGTCAGGCATTGCTACAGCTAAGATAATTTAGGAATGTTACCTTTAAACAAGCCTGAATTATCAATGGGACCAGGGTATGACGACTGCTCACCCATGCCATACATATCCCAACTGTCATATCCAACATATTTTTTCCATTGTTTGAACCATCTACTGTCTACAAGATACCTGGAAGGAAAAAAATTGCATTAAATGACAACTCTCTTCATGGGGGAAAAAACACTTATTTCACTTAAAACACTTAAAACTTTCAAAAATTGTGATTCCCTTTTCATTTACAATTTTTCTATGTATATTACACCTGAGCTGTGTGAAGTTGACAATGTTGCTGTTAGGTTAATTTAATAGGAGAAACCAAGATCTTCAAAAAAAATCAGTTTAAATCGATAACAATGAGTGGAAGCACAAACAGTGCTCTTCCCAATGCAAACTTTACTGACAGCAAATTTGCCTTTTATTTTGTTACTGATATTTAGTTTAAATTTAATATAGCCACACATGATGACTGTGGCTCAACAACTGAAACTTTCACCAAATGATGCAAACCAGATACACATAACCACAGCAACTCTGGTACTGACATGCGACTTACTACACTATTAAATATGTGATATAGTAGGCAATATTTGGTAATGATTGTCAAAATACTAGATATTTCGAATAATGGCTCCCAATTAGTACAATATATGATGAAAAGAAATGTGAATCGTACCTACATGCCTACTACACATCAATTACGTGTAATGTATATTGTTAGGCAAAAAATTCAATAAATGAGTCTTTAAAATTTATTATTTCTCATTTTGTATTTATTGCAATCAGATTAAATTTATGTGTACTTAACCCAATTCCTCTTGTGTACACAAGACTTTGATCATTGTACATATTAACTCATTACTGCCCACATAGCAAAGACGCATATAAAAAAATACATGGGCATTTAATTGTAAATGAAAAACAATAACAAAATATATTTATTGTGGTAATCAGCATCAGCAAAAATGATTTGCAACACGATCAAAGTCTTAATAATAGTCCAATTGAATACAAATATACTAGATACGGGAAAAGTTTCTTTATGACAAGCGTTACGTCAATCTATCCTGGTATACCAGGGACTGTCGACATGTCACCATGGTGTCACGGTCATTGAAGCGGATCGTTGTTGTACTGAAGTTTCTTTTATTCTGCGTTGTAAAAATAAAGTGCATCCGTCGTGTGGTATAAATAACGAAACGATGACGTCGACGAAACCAAGAATTTTGATGTCTCTTCAACTGTTACGGTGTCTGGGGTACAATATTTACACCACCGGCGCAACAAAAGACTTGACAGACGACGAACAGACGCCTAGCTATTAATATTGCTTTTGTCGACGTTATCAGAAATGAATATATCCATTACACGAAGCGATCTCAATAAAACTAACTACTATACGAAAACATTTGGCGCATTTACCGGTAAAATGACGGAGCCGGGTACAAAATGACAAAAACATGAATGACATGCTCGCAGTTCCGGAATAGGAATGCCGTAGGTTCAACAATAAACTCTATAATAATGGTTTATACTACCAGACCGATAACAATCTGTGGTGTTTAACGTTCTTACCATGTGTCGCCTTTTTTTAAGGAAGTTTTAAGAAGTTCACTTATTTCCGTTTTTTGTGTCTCGAGCTCGGGTGGCCCACCTTCCGCCATCTTGAATGTTCTTTCAATACTGCGAGCGCGAGGCATCATGGTAAATGACGTCATCGTGGCTTACATACCGTAGTCATTTCGTAAAGATGCCTGTGATTGGCTGAGCAGCAACTCTCCCAGTCCTAATATAGTACGCAATCCGACTCGTCGGACGTCACGTGCTGGCGAAACTCATACCATTCAAGTATTTGGTGGAATGAACAGAGAATAAGCAAATAGTACGCTGCGCATGTACTATATCTGGTATTCATAACATTGTATAAAACTAAACAAATAGCCAGTACTTTTTTCTGTTTTACCGCTTTGTTCTCTTCTGAGACAGCGATGGCATGCTTCATCTTCGAGTCATTGCTTCAGTCACGAGTGTCACATTGTCTCATTGTTTTATTTTTGAGATTTCCTTTTTATAAAAATGGCGCTTTTGAAAGAAAATGTATCTCATCTTATACTGTTTATCATCAGCGTTTACAAACAAGTATAATCATGGACAGATTTGATTGTGAAAATGAACGAGTTAATCAGATATGCCTTATCTTTATATCTGTATATATGGTCTGGTATTAGGTACAGCATTGGCAACGAAGAGTGGATGATAGCGTATAAAACCGATACCACTCCGACAACGAATGTCACGGTGAATTGTTGCTGTATATTATTACAATATTACGTTATTACGTTTGCCTTTTTAAAGAACTCAGTCTCAGAAGAAACAATACAAGTGAAGAAACATTACAATACATAAAGAACAGAATACAGACGCGCCTCTTAAAAAGGAATTAATACTGAAAACAACCACACTGACCTGCAACAAGTTTAAGTTCTGCTGTGCGTATGAAAAATTCGATGCTGACTGAAAACCAGTAGATATTAAAAAAACACGATTTGACTACGGTTAACTGTGGTTTGACAACTAATTAACATAGCAATTCTGTGCAATCAGTCTATTCATTATGCATAATATTACTCTGTCGAACGTCTATACAGGGTCCCTTATACTATGTTCACGTAGTTGCTCAAAAATGTAGAAAGCAGTATTTCACCATGATGCAAATAATACAAACATTCTGGAATAAAGTCAGTGATCGATGCCGGAAACACGGTATTTTGCAAAAACAGTTAAATGCTTATTGAATGTTTTGATATTGACTGCAAAACGTGTTATTTTACATAGCTAGATGCAAAACCCACATTTTGTGAAACTAAAATCCTATAGAGAAAATATCCCAAATTCAGAATTTGTAAATGGCAATAAAAACAAATTAAGAACACATATGAAGAAATGGAAAAGCTTGTCAAGTTATCGACAAAATAAAAGGTTACCAGTAATTGTTGTAGTTGTAATACATCACTGTAAATGTATCAGTTCTAATGCAATTCCGTGAATGCTTTGATTGTAACTTTTCATTCCTAAAATATAAGAACAGATAATGTAAATTATTTTCAGTTTTTGGTTTAACACTGTGAAATTGTTACAATAAACTGCAGACTTCCATTAAAATAAATAAATTAACAAGCAAACAAACAAATAAATAAATAAAGTAGTTCCCCCCCCCCAAGATGAACTGAAATAAACATCTGAGACCACGAAAAAAAAACGTTATACAAAAAGTTCCGAAAAGAAACGTAGACATAAGTATCGGAAAGCCGTGTTCTTGAGCCTGAAGGGTAGATAATGTGACACGCTTTATCCCATTGACCATTTGAAGGTCACAATTTCCCACTCAAAACGATGTAAATTTGTTCACATGTTGTGATTTTCCGCTCAATTCACTCTTAGTTTTGAAACACATATACCTAATGAGACATTGCTTCTAGTTTTTTGGTAAAAAAAAATAATTTTGGGGTTAATATTTTCAATGGAAAAGAGCAGACTATAAATGAAACTACTTCCGGTGTCTGGGAAACAATCATCATATTTTTACTTTACACAACTGCAACCGTCATTGGTGACTCAGCCGAGTGGTAGTTTCGCTCCGCTCTGATGTTACCGATAGTATTTTGTAGGCAGTCCCTGAAGTTGACTTTGCCAAATTTTTATACAAGACTAAAATACAATTATATCAGCAAAAATCAATACATAACAAGTAAACAGATTATAGATCTATCAAATGAATAAAATAATATTAATCAATCATGAAAAATCGGAATTTGAAAGAAAAAGGTGCCTAACATGAGATAGTGTAAACCGGATTTGCACAAGACGAATTTCAGAATGGTTGTTTGGTTGTCTGAAAAACAATACACGTTGGTAACACTTTAACATTGGTGTCGAATTTATTGTTTTTCTATTAAATTATTAAAAGAATAGACTACTAATAGATGTTTAATAGAAGCTTGTCCCACTATAAAATGTGTACAACCATACCGGTAGTGTACTGCCATCACGCTTCAGTACTAGTTTTAATGGGAACTTATGGGGGACAAAACAAACATGGCAGACGTCATTAGAGTAAACGTTATTATGGTGAACGATTCGATACAACGCAGTATATTTGCAAATAAATCCCAGGATGCAATATTTGCTAGTACTACCAATCTAAAAGATATAATACTACACCTCTTTTTAAAAATATATCGTCAAATTTCGAATTCTATCAAAAAAATACTTGAACGTGCGACGTAAATCATAAACTGCTCGTTCTATGGACACATTCGTTGTAGATGTAGTAGTAGATGGCATTTGAGTTGGTGAACTAATAATGCCCAAATTCGCCACTGCACAGTGACCTTTGTTTACGAAGTGACGAAACAGAAAATACGATCTATTTCTGAAAACAGTTTGATCACTGTTCTGAAAATATCTTTTTAGGTTCACCGGTATTATAATTGATATTGCATCACGGTACCTGGAATTGAGAGTCAAGGTATAAAAAATCTACGTAACCCTGGGTGAGTGCGCCAAAATGTTTTGGCTGGGATTCGCTCACTAACGGGTGTAACGTTTATGAATCTTGGTTTGCATTGTATCAGTCCTGTCATATACTCCTAATGTGGTTGCTGTGTGTGTGTGTCTGTATGTATTTACATCATTTGTAATTTGCATACACAGTACTGTTTATTGACACACGTAAAATTCATCGGAAGGAAGGAAAAACAATCCAATCCAAGACAAGTCAAATAACACAGAGGCTGGGATGATTTTACTCAAGATTGGTCATTAGATACCAATTGGTTGTTACCACCTGTAAGCCTCATTGGTTAAGTTCTGAGACATTTTGAATCATGTCGGGGTAGGGGTAATGATCCCATTACGGAGATCGGCATATTTTTGGCCATTTATTTGTCCAGATGGAGTGCATTTTGCTGCTTACGTAGCAGACTGGATGGACCTGCCAAATGATTTGAGCATTTTTGTTGCAGACAGGCGCTCAAACACTGTGTTTGGTGGGAAATCATAAAATTTCCCTATTCTGGCTTTCAATGTAGAATTCAAAGGTGAAAATGCGTCTAAACATTGCCTTGCAGGCTTTTGTTCTAGCGATAGAGGGTATTGTATGCTTTGCAAGCCATAAAGACATGTATTTTAACTTTGCCGAGTACAGGTAACTGCACTGAGCTCAAATGACTGAAGTAGTCCAGGTTTTCGGTTTTTGCTGTGATGGCGTCAGATAATGAACCTGGCTCGAGCGATCGATGGATCCATAGCAGCCTGTTTTTTGCTTTTTGAATTTCTGCCATGACAATGGTTTAGCCAATAGTGCTGGGCTCGAGTGATCGAATGCGGTCCATAGCAGCCTGTTTTTTGCTTTTTGAATGTTTGCCATGACAATAGTTTAGTCAATAGTGCTAGGCTCGAGTGATCGAATGCGGTCCATAGCAGCCTGTTTTTTGCTTTTTGAATGTTTGCCATGACAATAGTTTAGTCAATAGTGCTAGGCTCGAGTGATCGAATGCGGTCTATAGCAGCCTGTTTTTTGCTTTTTGAATGTTTGCCATGACAATGGCTTAGCCAATTGTGCTTGGCTCGAGTGATCAAATGCGTTCCATAGTAGCAGTTTTTTTGCTTTTCAGTTTAGTTGAACCTTTTACGTTTATATACACAAACAATAAACAGATACGGATGTATTTAAATTGGGAGTCTGGGAAGATCTAAGAATGAATAAGGAACATGCTCATCTTGTGTCAACATTGGAAAGCATATTGCTAGCATCAAGAGCGGACTCCACATTCAATCTTAACGCACTTATTAGGTGGGCTAAAGAAAGTTGTTTCCAGACATTTTCTTTCCCATGTGTCATTATATCTAACTAGTCTTATTGAGGGCGCCATTCATAGCCAGAAGACGAAACAGTGTGTAAAATCGGCATGCTATAGCATTCAATGGATGCACACTTAGCCTGGTTTACCTACACCTACTCAACATCCTTTTATCAAGAACATTGTGGAATTCTCCAGAAGGTTACTTGGCAAAACACCAATCAAGAAATAGCCCGTTACAGCAATAATAAAAAATCAAAACAAATCCATTATCCAATAACATGCAAGATGACAAAAGTCATCAGGTCCATGAGACGCACAATTCACCAACAGTGTAAGTATGGACCATCTTGAACCACTTTACGTCTCTCTACAAGTGGTGGTACCAGATGTCCGGAATTTGTAAGCGTACCATGCTAGCATGCTACACCCGTCAAGATGATACAAATAACTCCATAAGCATGTTGCTATCTGGGCAAGTTGTAAAATAGTTTATAGTGAGTCATATCCGAGAATACTGTCTCTCATCATTTGCTAGACAGAAATGTCAAATTTGGAAATTAAATGCTTGTATCATCCAGAAAAGCACCCATTTTGAGTATCCTTGCTTCACCAGCTTTGAAGTCAGTGTGCTGTGTCTTACCCGACAATCGCTGTACAATACACAAGCTCTAGAATATCCAAGAAGCTGTGAAATATAGATACCATAAGCTGGAGATGATGAAATATTGCAAGACAAATAAGGATAATTAACAATTTCAAAATCAAAATCATCCCTTTTGTCATACAGTTTATTATATAGACCATTCAGTCTAATTTGGAAAACACAATTTAGGTAGGAAGCAGTATCCATGTTCTAGGTAGCATCTTTAATTACTAACTAATGAGGATAAATCAGGTCTAGATATTTCGAAATACCCTGATTATTGAGGCTCAAAAGATCATCAATGTATCTGTGTGTGTTGTTAAAGCGCTTTGCAAGTTGTTTATTCCCTGATTGATGCAGAAACTGCATGCATTATGCCTAATATGAATTTAAAAATAGGTCAGAAAGAAGTGGGGCACAGTTTGTACCCACAGGAATACCAACAGTTTGTCTAAAAGTCGAGCCACCAAATTTGACAAAGATATTATTAAAGCGAAAAGTGATCATAGTAATATCATCTTCGGTATATTTATTTCTGGCATCTTCATTGTTACTAAAATATAATTATGATATATATCAAATGTATGAATAGAACTGTACCTAATGTTGCACTGACTTTGCACGCTATCTAACAGTTCCAAATTTGGTCAAGACCACTGGTTTCATAAACCTTGCCACAATAGCGAAAAATGCAATTTTTAATGGTAGTCAGAATAATGGTTAACAATTGTGACAAGCGTTTAGTGGTACATTTGCTAGAACCTGCTATATAACGTTGTTTATATGGATTCTTGTGCAGTTTGGGATCCAATACAAACAAGGCAGCACTCTGTCATCAATTGAGCATTTGATATAATAATGCTTGCAGATAAAAATATTGTTGTTAGATGCTTTATCTGCTGAAACAATCACAGACCAGATCTTTCCTATTTTCCTTTGACTCTTCATAAGCACTGCATATGGTAAGTGTTTTCTCTAGGTTTGGATATTGTTTCTGCAGTAGTTTGCTTTAGCATGCTCACAGTAAATACCACACATTATTTTATCACGAATTAGTTCATCACGCATTGTACCAAATGCACAATCCTTTGCTAATATTTTTAATGCTATGACAATATCATCAATGGATTCATTTCGTCACTGATTTTTAATGTTGAACATGTGACGCGAAAATACAAGGCTTTTCTTAAGGAGAAATGTTTTTCAAACTTGTCTAGGATGTTTTTGGTACAGTGCTTTTGTCATCATCTTCTTCAGTGAACTCAAAAGTTTCAAAGATGTCCCTACCTTCAGGGCCTATGATGTACTGAATGCCTTTCTCAGCATCAGTTTTGTCTGCCATACCAACATCTAAATACAACTCCATCGTTCAGCCTTATTGCCTTCAGTAGTAAAATCCATTTCTGGTATTGTGTCCCATAATTTACAATGACTTCTAGGAACACATCTCAGTCTCAATTGACATATGTTAATAATTAACATGCTTTGTTGATTACATATCATGTTAGGCCCACCATGTTTGTGCCGTTCATTCGTTGGCCTTAGCAATTGACAAGAACACTGTCTCTAGCTACTATAAGTATAAGTAAACAAAGTTACATAATTTTCATAACGAGGACTTCCTGTGTGTGCAGGGTCAATTACCACATGTTAATAATTAACATGCGTTGTTGATTATATATCATGGCACCTGAAGTTAGGCGATTTAGTGTCATTCGCAAGCGTTGGGTTCGAGTCGCGCATGCAGTACGTATATAGTATTTACTTTTATTTGTTGTAGTATTGACCATGCCGTTTGTTCGGTTTTATTTTCTTGCTTACTATGTCAGCAGTTACTATGAATACTACTATGAACTACTATTATGAGTTTACAATTATTCACCAGCACTTATTCGCTGTATTAGGTCATTGTTTTGTGGGGTCAATTCATATGTACATAGGTTGGTCTTCTAGTACTTAGCTGTTTCACCATTTGTACAGCACATTGGGGAAATTTATTCCATTTCTGGCGTCTCTGGACGAGGTTTCACGGTCGGTGCATGCAACAACTTGGGTATTAAGCACCCTTTTTGTCTGTGTGTTGGGGAGGGGGGTCCTGCCTTGTTATCGAGGAGAAGACGTGCTGTGACGTGTAGATACAAAATTTGTTTGTGTACAGTATTTGTATTTACTTTTGATACCATTGACATTGTCGTGTATTCGGTGTTATTTGCTTGCTATATCCGCTATTTTGTTAGCTTGTTTAATTGTACCCATTATTTGCACCCCTGAAATAGTACCTAGTTTTATTGCAACACCTGGTTCCTATTGCTACCCCTGGGGGTCACCAGGCCTCTCCTGATTTTATTTTCTTTATTTTTAAAACGTCATACAAATTCGTTTTTAGATTACTTGTACTCCCACACGCAATGGTAGTCTGGGAGTATATGGGGTAGTCTGTATGTATACGTGTATGTCTGTCACACCATAATCTCAAGAACCGATAGTCGGTTTCAATGAAACTTTTGTAATATTCTCAGCCATGTCGATTGTAACATTTGTCCACATTCATCAACATGTTTATCTTCATGGACCTAGAAAATGTCATTTACAACATGGGTTGTCTCTGTGAGCAGTGTTGACTCAGAGGCAGAAATGGTTGTATGATGTTTGTTCGTCAAAGGAAATTAACTTTACATCGGGGCACTTGCTGGCGTATTCATGACACTTTCTCTGCCTACTGTGCCGACAAAATACAAAATCGTTACAAAAATGCTGAAAAATCTCATACCACAGAAAGAGGGTCACACATGACAACAATGGGCAGACTCTACTCCGTTGAATCATGGTCATTATAACTAGGTGGAGGGTCGGCAAGGGTTTTTTCGTACGCTGTAATCAATTGTTTTTATTTCGTAATAATGTAATTTAAATAAATAAAAAAACGTAAAATCGTAGACAGGGGCAAGGTGTGAAATGTAATCAGTTATTTTATTCATAATTTGTACAAAGATCTTATTTTTGTAAGCGTTTAAAGCATTTTCCACATTAAATGTCGTAATCCGTACGCTATTTCCAAATTTGATTCTTAAACACAAATTATCAAATGTATTATAAAAATGTAATTAGGAATTTGCTTTATCTTTAAAGTGTAAAAACTTATTTTTTACTGTAAATGTAACTTTCATTTTATTTCCTGTAAACACGTAAAATGTCTGTTTTATTTCCTGTAATCTGTATCAGGTAAAACCCCCCCCCCCACCCGACCCCCCAGGCGAGTAGGCAATATTTGCGTGGGCAGCCAATCACTTTAATTGGAATTATGAATAAATGAATACTATCATTTATTATTATTATTAAATTAGCAACGTAAAACTGATGAACTATTTTGATTTCAGCAATGGCGTTTGAAATCAAGACAAAGAGTATAACCGAAGATACAATTTACTACTCCCAAGCCTTACACAACCTACATTCACAAGTTCTTGACATGAACTCATTGCGAAAGACTTGGCAGCAGCAGTGGGTGGACATCGTTAGGGAAAAGCTGAATTTAACTCATTGTACAGATAGTGTGCACATCTTGATGATTGGCGCAGGCAATGGTAAGTAACTATCTCCAATAAAGTACTAGTAACAGACGATAATGAGAAAATCAAACACACTGGAAAGGCAATCCCACTTATTAACAAGAAAACATGTTTTCAGCTTTGTTTTCTATGATTTACTCAAATCAATTCGGCAGAATTACTTTGCTAATTGCATTCATTCGTTCGTACATTTCTCGCGCCAAGCGTTCCACAGAAGGCGACACGCCCACGCCAATCATGATTGTTCTCCAGAGCGAACCAGCTTTTTTGTGTTTTGCAACGATAACGGTGTCAATAATATCCAGTAAATTGGCATCGCACAGTATCGTATTGAGTACACATTTCATTCCACAACTTCACAAGTTGTTCTTCTACAAACGAGTTTACCAGGTTGCCCAACAACACCAAAAATCAACATTTGGACATGTCAACAACCGTTTCTTGGATATACCTTGACCAATTTCATTAAAAAATGACACTTTAATCAGTCATGGTGGGTTACTCATGTACGTCATTTTTTTCATGACTCGATTCAAAATGGGTGGCTGGTGGCCATTTTGTTTTTAATGAGTGTTCTACTCATTTTACATAGATGATTTGGGTTAAATGTTGTACAAAGACAAGATATAATTGGTTAAATGTTTTGTTTTTTTCGTTTTATCGAAATTTACTCAAATGCATAAATGTGACCTGAATACATGAACTGTTGTAATGTTACCGACATCGCGTGCACTACGTACGCGCATTACGCAATTCTCATTGCTCTCGATTGTATAACTAAAGTACTTCAAATGCCACAAAAACATATAATGACTGAATTTACGAGATTCTCTGTGAATGTCCCACTGGCACATACTAGATCTATAAAAACAGACCGCTATCAATTTGTAAATATTCATAGTTCCGAATAGGCCAAATGATGAAAGAAAATAATTTTGGTGTACTGTACTGATACCACTCAATCATCCTTTTTTTACACTGTTAGTTATGACAAATAATTTGTTCTCCCTGTGTCACAATGCACAAAATGAGATATGAATACATTGTTCTATCAGAGAAAACACTAACAACAGTTTCGGAATTATAATGACTACCGAGCTTTATTTATAACAAATGACAAAATAAATTTGATGGCCAACATATTGTATTGTGCTTAGAGTACAACATAATGCGATTTTGACAAATATTTTGGTTGTGAGTAGGCGTTTGTACCATAACTTATACATTTAATCAGAATATATATATTACTATTTAATCATTTAAATTAACGTTAATTACTATGCATATATAATAAAATGACAAACGCCCTATACAGATATTGAGGTCACGAGGCGCGAACTCGTCAAGACCCCGTATATGGCGCTCGTCATTCTATAACCGGCTTTTAAGATGGCTGCAATCAAAGTTGAGTGTGTCCCATGCCACTTGTTATGTTTATTTCACTATCAGCGTTATAGCAAAATTGATATATTGCTACAATGTCGAAGAAAAGTATTGAAGTTAGGTTAGGAAAAAGTAATAAATACACATGGCAACTGATCTTCGTCGATATGAATGCTGTAATATTCGACTTCTTGTTAAAAATAGCAAGTCCGATTGCTGTGACACTATACATATAGGTACCTCAAGTAGACCTCTCTCAGATTTGTTCATTTTCTAATAATATCTTCATTTCTTTAATTGAAATGTGCATTTCTAACAGCGGAGTTATCTCAGCCTAGAGGCTGCTTGTTTAGTATAAATTTATTTGAACAGACTATTGATCATGAATATCGATTTAGAGGCAGACGAGATGAACAATTCCGCTGACCACGTTTTGCGCCCTCGTGCGATCGCAATACTTAGTGATGTAATCTATCTATATTTTAGGATACAAAGACTGTCAGATTGTAGACTATATTGCACAAAAAAACCCAAGTGTGCATTGTGAAGTTGTAGAGCCTGATAGCAATCAGATGAAGTCGTTTCGGGAAAAGGCGTCGAAAATAACTGCGTTATATCCGGCTATTAGTTTTGAATATCACGCCAAGACGTACCAGGAGTATCGAAATGCTCTTCAATTTGAAGTGGATGCCAGGCGAGCGCCATCTTTCCATTTGATCACGTGTTCACACACACTGCATTATATCGATAACTGGCCACGTGCATTAGATGAGATGTTTGGTCTACTAAAGTGTAATGGTTTGCTTGCGATTACACAGGCCACAGCCAATGGTGAGTATGAACCTTAACGTTTTTAGTCTAATGCTTATCACTTTTTATTCGTTGCTGCATTCTAGGATGTCCGTGGTTATATGCAATAACCATATGAGAAGAACTCCGAATACGCGACAATTTGACAACAGATTGGGTTATCGTATTCACAGCGGCAATTTGAGTTGGTGAAACTCCCTAATTCGCGATAGTGAATTAGGTAAATCATGGTCAAAGGAAGGTTATGACAAATAAACCGTTTTGTTAAAAAATCAGTTTAATAGTATAATCCAGATTTTGTGGCCTTAGTTCAGTGCCACGTACACATTGTGTCATTGTTGTATGGCTATAAGTCAACGACAATATTTGATTTAGGCTACAAACCATGATATTCTTATATGTCGGTCCTAATTCATAGATGACTTGTACATACAGCGTTTTCTTTCTTTTCATATTTGTTTGCAATGCACAATAGAAATGCCGAACATTGTAATGTATGTTATGTTCATTTGCTCAACTTTTCATATTAATCCAGTTTATTTAATGATACTTTATTCTAATTTACAAGTTTGTAAATTAATTACATATATTTTTATATTACATATGTGTCTTCGTTACACCTAGTCAAACTTTAAAACTTAATTAAACCACCGTGATTCTTTGACAATCTTTATTATTTCTAAAAACACAGGCACCTTTGGTAGAGTTGTAGACATGTATCGAAAACAAGTCAACGATAAACTCGATCCAGATCATCATCTGACATCCGATGCTGTGTTCAATCACCTTAAGGAGATAGGGGCTCATTTGGAAAGATGTCCGCGCAGCTTTAAGGTTGACGTCACTGATATCTTTGATGAATCCTCTGAGATAGGCAACATGTTATTAGATTTTATATTGCAGCGGAAAGACGTACGGTCAACTGTGCCCCGCGTTGTAATGGATGAAATGCTACGTTTTATGAAAAACGAGAGTGAAATGTATAACAGGAGATCCTTCTGCACCGAAAAAGAAGAGGATATCATTTTGATTAAATCGTAGACCATTCCGCATTGCCATGAAATAATAGTCTGTTTCGACACATTGTTTCAAAGAAATTTTCTCATTGAACAGGCCATATTTTATCCTCTCCCAAAAAGTCTTATGTATACTCCACAATTCGCATACAATAGTATGCAACAACAAAAACAACAACCGCAACCCCAAAATCCGTAAAGGGGTAAATTGGTCTAATAAAATATGATCTGGATGCAATCATAATTACAGAAATTATACTGTTAGAGATCAATGAAAAGATTATTCATTCAAGTTATTCATTCGTTTACATTTCAGTTATTGAAGTATGATATAATGATGATGGCCAATCAAATGTGTTCTCGTTTTGTATTTGACGTTTGTTTGTTAATTACAAGTAGTGTAGTATAGTACAAGCTTTCCGAAAGGCCGTAAAAGTGAGCATGTGGATACAATTATACTTGTGACACTAAAACTGTGCTTGATATCAACGGAAGACTTAATATTAAACCAGATATTCATTGAGATGACAACTTTTATAATTGAGGTATGGCATCACTATGACGTCATAATATGAAAACTGAAACAAGTCTGCAAATTCTATTTGCCAATTATTAGAGGATCAAATTTTTAGCACCATCAAAAGACAGTCGCAAAGTAAATGTAATGTTTTATAATTTTTTTTGTATGATCGTTTGTAGATTTTGAAGATTTTGAAACTTCGTGATCGGAAGAAAATTTTCTCATATAATATGGTTATGTATGTAGCTGTATACTGACAATGTTGCTATATTTTCTGATATTGTGAAAGACTCGTCTATGGGGAAAATATCAATTTAATATGAAATTTAAATATACATATGATCAATACCAAAGTAGTCGTGTGTATGTATTAACAGGAGTACTGGTGTATTTTCATCAGTAACATTAAAAAGTGGTGCTTTAGTAAACATATCTGGGTATTGTGAACAAACAGATTTCCTATACTGTTTAAATGTGTGACATTTGTACATGACCTCTGTATTTTAAGCCATTCTGCTATGCATTCCGTTATTGACCAGATTTTATGGTGAAATTGAAGTACCGTAGTGTAACTTGTATAGTATAGTGCATGGGTTTACCGATTAGTGCTGGCTTGCTCAAATATAGCGGAGTGTGTGACTGTTGTTAACTCCACATTCTTGACCACTGTTCACTACTGTTCAACTGAAGACCCTTGGAATTAATATGGTATTGTTTATCTATTTATGTGTCAGATTGGTCTAAACTATCAGAATGAATACCGTGCTTGACAATTTGTTCTCGATATATGCATCTGATAATAGTCGTGGAGAAATACAAATCTTATGCCATTTTATCATCCATAACCATTTAACCATGTTTTAACCATATTCTGATTGTGGTACTAACCATGACCTGTGTTGACCATTGGTAATTCATGATTATGTACGATTATGGTTAGTAGTCTACTATTATGCTCATTATTACAAGGATTTTTATGTAATTTTATAATAATAACCAATGATTGTAGTTCATTTTAAACCTCAAAATTATTTGAATTGTATTTATAATGTCTAAATTCCTTATAAAGTTCTGCTCCAGCAATCACGTGCACAACATTCATAATCACATGTATATAACTTACATTTCAATCTCTATTAACTATTATATAATGTACACTATTTTCAGAGATAAATACATATTCATAATTTAGTTCTTAAACACAACCTACAAGTTGTACATTAGGTATAGTATTGTCAATAAATATATGGAATATTATCTTCATAGTCACTCCAATACATTACCATGGCCCTATTGTTGTTGGTTGATCATCAAATACTCCGATAATCCATTAGCCTGGGTTTAGTGTTTAACATACGCTGATTATCCGGAATGATTGAAACATGGTGACGATGCTTGACCATGGTTACTATGGTTAAATTTAACTATTGAATTTTAGGTAATGGATGGTTCAACCATGTGATTATTTATGAAGAAATCATAATAACATGGTTGCTTGAGCGAAGAGTAAGGTTATTTAATCATGACATATGGTGAGCTTTCAACAAAAAACAGTGTTTCTTAAATTCGATTGAGGGTAGGGAGAAAAATGTCCAATACCAGTTCCAGCCTATGGTCTATCAATGTCAGCCATTTTGATTATTGGCGCCATTTTGCTCACAAATATGTCACCATGTAGCATTTCTGACAATACTAATAAGCGTATTATCATCACAAATCATTATTGTGCAATTTTATACACCAATTTGAGATTTTATATTCTGTATTTTTTGGGGGGTGGCAATATTGAGAAAAATCAAGATCCTGGTACAATATTTGTAATCAGCGCACAAACACATCCCTGGTTCTGCAAATGTTTCTTCTTAAGGGTCTTTATAAAGTGATTTATTTGGACATTTCGTTGCGATAAGTAAGACTGAATTAACAGCAGCATGTGGCAAGGATGCTGTAAACTCCTATTGGCGTGACCATCGTATTATGAGAGGTTTGAATAGTCACAGGACAATAAAAAAACAAGAACGACATATCAAGTCAAGTCTAAACAAAGGTACATTACTTGGGGTTTGCAAGTAGCGTGACATGATACCAAGATCCCGTTTCAATCTCGCTCTCGCATAAGCATTCCCAACTCAGAACAATGCAAATGCGCATGCCCAAGGTAACTAGGATACTCGGTGGTCCAGGTGGATCAAAATAGAAGCTCACGATATGACGGATTACGAGAACTATATTTTCTGTACATTTTCGATGTATTATACTTTTTCACTATGATAGTGGTGAGACATGTTTTATTGTTTTATTACAAACCTTGAACATTGATATATGTCATGTCAGAAGGTCGTAGCATCAGTCTCGTTATCTACGAAACGAGACTTGAATGGGGTCTTGACATGATGTCACCATACAGTAATATGCGCATTGCAAATCCCATGTAATGTACCTCTGGTCTAAATTATAGGAATTTTCATCAAATTATTACCATGGCAAAACTGAAAGTATCTCAGTCGTTTGTTTTTTCTCTTTTCTGCGGAAGACACGGTGCATTTGCTGTACGGTTTCTGTTTCACTCACTATAAATTGTCATATATCGATTTTCAGCACTTATGTTATGTTAGCAACTTCACGATCGCACATTCCCATCACACGCCGTTAGACTATTGTTTAGAATCAACAACATGCATGTTTAGGGTAGAGATTATAAACATATATTACAGGAATTTTATTGTAAAATTGTTTACTTATTGTATTTAGTAGTGGCAACGTTGCAAGGCTTTAACCGTGAGGCACATCCCTGGTAATCACGTGATCGTGCCAACGACTGCAGCGATTTTGCTGGTCGCATGGTTACTCTGCCACGCCTTAAAGATTTTACTTTTAATATAGAATTTGTAAACTTTTGTAAGAGGAGAGAAAAAGAGAGAATGGTGCAGCCAGGGGTTACCTCGGCTGACTGCCTGTGTGGATAAAGCTGGACTATCTGTAATGAACTTATGTGTATTTATGTGGGTCGAATCTGGTATCTCTACCTACGTGGGAGTGATATCAGGGGG